GGTCTAAGTGGCAGCTAACAGTGGAAAAAGGTTATTTGGGTCATAGAACTGCCATATGATCAGGCAACACCATAGGGATATACTCAAAGGAATGTAAGTCAGGTTCAATAAAGGCACCTGTACATCCATGTTTATTGCAGCATTATTACAATGAGCTAACGCTATTGGGAAACAACAAGATGCTACTAAACCATGAATGATTTAGAACAAATACAGTATTATATTAAATGTAATTTTATTCAGCCATTAAAGAAGAATGAAATTTTGTCATTTGCAGGTAAATGGATGGAACTGGAGAACATCACCGTAAGTGAAGTTAGCCAGGTTCAGAAAGCCAAAGGCCACATGTTTACTCTCATATGTGGAATATAGATCTAATACAAATACAAGTAATGTTATGAAAAACAGGTCATGCTAAGGGGAGGTCACATACAAAAGAGGGTGGGGAAAAGAATGAAGTTAAGGAGGTGAATATGGTTGATGTACTTCCTATACAAGAATGAATATAGTTTTTAAATGTGTTGAAATCACCATAAGAAGGGGTAGAAAGGAGAAAAAGAGATGAACCAATATGGGTTTTAATATGTACACAAATGGAAATGTCACAAGGAAACTCCCTGTGTAGCTATCTTAAACAAATAAAAATGTCTTTTTTTTTACAATATTGGAGAACAGGAAGGCAGATAGGTCCTGTCTGGAGAGCGAGTACCAGTGGGAGGAGAACAATGTGGGGAAAGGGTTTAGAAGAGTGAATATGATGCAAATACTGTGTACACATGAATGTAAATGGAAAAAAGATGCCTGTTGAAACTATCCCAGGAATGGGGGGAGGGAAGATAAAGGAGAATGATGGAGGGGGTGAATTCAATTATGATATATTTGATATATTGTAAGAATTTTTGTAAATGCCACAATGTACTCCCAAGCACAACAATATAAAATTTGTATGATAAAAAAACAACAAAAAAAGTGAGGTCCTCTATAAAAACAGAAAATCAATAGTGTAAAAAGAGAGAAGGTGAGGTGGCATTCTGTTTATGAAATTGTCTATAGGAAATTCAAATGATGTGCAGCAGGCAGTTAAAGAAATTAAAGTCTACAGATCAGTGTGAAGCCAAACAAAAGATAAAGATTGGCAAGTTAGTGTTCAGATGAAAGCTAAAGCCATTAAGAGTGGATGCAATCACCCAGAGAAACAGTGACTGCAGAAAAATCAGGACAAACTTTTAAGACAACTATATATTCAAAAAGAAGGGACCTTGATGCCAGTTACTGCTTTATTTATCCTCTATCATCCTGGACGCCATAGCTAGTCAATTCACATTGCTCTAAATTATGCTACTGCTTTCTAATGTGCCCACCTTTCTCATCCCATACTAAGTTACTCCAAAAACTTTCGTCTTTGATTCAGTATCTGAACTGCAAAGCATGTTAAAGAACATTATGTAACAATGTTGTAGTGATTATTAACAAATAAAACAGACCCTCACCACTGCTGTAGAAGTCTTTTTTTATCCTCCATTGATTTTAATATTCCTTATAGCTGTTTTTAATCTTTTCTAATTTCTACTCCTTAACCCCAGAGTGTCTCACCTTAGCAAATAATTTCCTACTACTAAAAATAAATGAGTAATTTTGTGAGCTTTCTCTTCACCTCAAAATCTTTGTCGTCACTCTTCTCACCTTTGGCTTCTGCAAAAAGAAATGCCCTGCCTCCTTACTAATGCTTAATCCACACACAATGCTTATGTTCATATTGTCCCCTTTTAAGGACCTTAAACATCTGTTCCATTTTGTCTTTATCGTATTGCCTACTTATACTTGGTCTACAAATAACTTGTGTGCTCTTCTTCTAGCAACAATGGTATTTCTACTATTTTCCCTGAGGCTAAATTTACAAAAGAATCATCTATACTTACAATGTCTACTTCTTTACCATCCACTAACTGCTCATAATTTATCTGCTACCTAGATATATTAAAACTATTTAGCACAGGCCACAAATGACCTCCCTATCATCAAATCCACCACTTTTTTTCAAGTCTATTCTCCTTTGACTGTTAATAGCAGTTCAGTGTTTGTAACCCCTTCTTCTGCCTTATCTAATTTTCTCCCTCGCCTTTTATGCTATGAGATTCTTTTTATTACTCTTCTACCTTTCTGATTATTTATAAATATGTCTACCACTTGTATTTTCTCAAGATTTTGTCTCCTTGCTCTTTTGTCTCATTTCCTACTCTTAGAAAAACATTTCCTATGATGACTTTAAGTATCACTTTTCTGAAATTAACTTTCACATCCTTGCCTGACCACTTTAAATCCAAATTTCTAATAGCCCACTCAATATGGCCATAATCAATATACAATATGGCCATCATATTATGGCTCAATGTGGCCATGTAGATGATACCTCAAATTCAATGTGTCTAGCTGGCAGAGTGGCTCAAGTGGTAGAGCATCTGCCTAGCAAGTGTGAAGCCCTGAGTTCAAACCCCAGTACTACCAATAAATAAATAAATAAATAAAGCAAGCTGTGGAGGGAGAGTAAAAAATTTTTTTTAATTCAATGTGTCTAAAATCAAACATCTTTCCACCCTCCCACTTACTGGTTCTCCTAGACATCGTGACTTAAAACCCCCAATTACCTTATTTCCCCTCAATTTTTTATATTTTTAAAATTCTAATCTACAGGGAAATTAGAAAGAAAATAGGTGTGGTAGCACACATCTGTAATTTGAGCACTTGGGAGGATTATTAGTTCAAGATCAGCCTGGGCTACATAATGAGACCTGTCTCAAAAACAAAAAAAAGAAAAAAAGCTGGGAAAGAAGTATAATAAATATCCTCACAGACTATACCCCTAAATTCAATTATTAATACTTTGCCACAATGGCTTTTCTGATTCCATTTTCCCTTTACTTCTTCTTATTGTTGTTTTGTTTTGTTTTGTTGGCGGTTCTGGGGTTTCAACTTAGGGCTTCATGCCAGTAGGAAGGCTAGCTAAACTACTAAAGCCACACCTGCAGCCCAGAGAACTCTTTTTTTTTTTTCCCCCTTTTCATTGAATCATTTCTCTAAATTGAAGACATCATGACTTTCGACCTCTAAATGCATCAGGATGTATCTATTTTATAAAATAAATGGCAAATTCCTATAGAACCACACCACCATTATCACACTCAAGATATTTAATAATACTGTACTAGTTATCTGATAGCATATATTCAAAATATTCAAATTCCACAAATCATCTCAATTATACTCTCTCTTTTTTAAGCAGTACTGGATGTTAAACTCAGGGTCTCACAGCTGCCAGACAGGCATCACTCTGCCAGCCCTTTTTACTTTGGTTATTTTTGACACAGCGTCTCTCTTTATGCCTGGGCTGGCTTGGACTGCTATCCTCCTATTTTGCTTTACCACCTAGCTGGGATGACAGGTACATGCCACCACACCCAGTAACTAGTTAAGATGGGGGGTCTTGAGGGCTGTTGGAGTGGCTCAAGTGGTAGACAGAGCACCTGCCTAGCAAGCATGAGGCCCTGAGTTCAATTCCCAGTGCCTCAAAAAAAAAAAAAATGGAGTCTTTGCCTAGGCTACCCTCAAACTTCAAATATTCTTATCTTTACCCTCTTACCTCCCAAGTAGCTAGGATTACAGGTTTGAGCCACTGTACCTGGCTCCATTTATGTTCTTTATAGCTATTCTCTCCCTCTAATCCAGGATTAGTAATATATTCTCCTGAAATTTCCAATTAAGTTTCATGGAGTCTACTTTGAAATATTTCCCAAATCTATTCCTTTTCATTAGCTTGCCTTCATTTCCCCTCACTTGCATAGACTCAATAAATATAGCTTCAACCTAGATAGGTCTCCAAATTAATATTAAGATTTAAGTACATATCTAAGATTTAAATTTCCCCTCTGTTCAAAATCCTTCAACAATTCCTCCATAAATTCAGTCATGTAACACATTTTCAGTTTTATGTTCTACTATTCATATACAATTCCCTTAGCTCATACTACTACTACTATCTTCTACCTAGAATTCCCTTTATTTAATTTCCATTCAAATAATAATTACTAACTAAACATTCCTTTTTACTGAACTCTTTTCTGATCACACACCTCTCCTGCTGCAACCTCTCCCTTTCCTCTTTTATCCCTATAATACTTAATATATTTTTAAAGGCACATTTACTTAGGTATGTATCTTATCTCTAATACTGGACTACAAGATCCTCAAAGGCAGAAATGGTAACTGCATATTCTAAAGTACCAATTACAAATCCCATACATGTTGAACACTGCACAGATGTTGACATACTACATGGACAGGTAGGACTTCTACCAAGTTAATATATACCAGAAATGATTTCCAAGCTTCCTGGCCTCTCTGCTCAATCATAATCCCTGGTCTCCCAGCTTATTGTGGCCTTTTGCAGTTCAGAGCATCGTATTAAGTTGAATCATCACTTTGTATCTTAAATACGTAACACTTTTTGTCTTAAGCTATGGCACTAAAACTTGGAAATAGTGATGGGGTTCTGTCTATGTGATAGGATCACTTTTTTATTTTCTATGGTGCCACAAATCCACTAACAACTCTACTTCGATTTTTTTCTGTTATTTTTGCATTACTTTTCCAACAGAAATCATCACTATACATAAGCAATAGTAAAGATAAAGATGTGGTTTTTTACTTGCAGTTGCCAGTGGCTCACTCCACTAATCCTAGCTACTTGGGAGGCTGAAATTTGGGAGGATCACAACTTGAGAATCAGCCCAGACAAAAAGTTTCACAAGACCCGATCCTCCAATAAACCAGAGAAAAATGGACTGGAGGTGTGACTCAAGCAGTAGAGCACCTGCTATGCCCACACCAAGGCCCTGAATTCAAACTCTAGTCCCACAAAAATAAAAAATTTTTAAAAAAGTGGCTCTTACTAAAATAGCAAACTTGAATACACAAAGAATTTCAAGACTGCTACGGACACTTACCTGCCCCAGGCATACATATTATTATGAGTCTGTGAAGGGTTGACTTTTGAAAGGAGGAACGAGCCTTAAAAGCAAGAAGAAATAACACTATCAGAAATAGATTCAGTGAATACAATACATTGTACCATCTAAAATCAATTTAATTTATGCATTTGGTAAAATGATTTATTAAAATAGAACATTTTAAAAAGATCAACTAAATTTTTGAAATGTGTAGGCATTGTCTGTTATAAATGTAACCTTTCTCATCAGATCAAATATTTTGACATTCATAATAACAAGTAATAAACTGCAATAAACACAAAACTCTACACATAAAATGTGTGTGCAACAATTATGACAAAGTTAATGTGAAATTACAATTATTACAAAATAGTCTGAAAATCATTAAAATTTGAAGTCCCATAAAATGCTACAAATAAATGAAAATGCATCTTCTTTTACTTGAATAAACAACCCGCAAATTTTTTAAACAACTTAAGCCAATATTTTCCCATCAATCTACTACAGTTTTTTATCATAAGAATAATAAACAGAATAAAAGAGGAAAATACCAATACACATTGATATACTGACTTTCACAAATTTTTAATTCACTCTAGAAAAACCACTAGCAGTCTTATCTTTTGAAATCTGGTATCATACAAAATCTTTTTCTATTATCTAAGTAATCAGTTTACACAATAGTCAAGAGCACTATCCTAGGGTCAGAAGACCAAAAACTTAAAATCCTAGCAACCTACTCAGGCATAGTGGTGCATGCCTGTGATCCTAGCACTTGGGTGGCTAAGGCAGGAGTATCAAGGTCAGCCAGGAAAAAGGCCAACACTATCTCAAAAACAAAAAACAAACAAACAAAAATCCTCCCCCCAAAAAAAATACTAGCTTCTTCATTTAATGTGTTTCCCTAGGCATAAGTAACATAAGTAACAGTTTTATTACCTATAACAGAATTATTATGAGGATTCTCAAATATGATAGTTCCTATAATATTGTAAATCCTTAATAATTGGTATCATTTCTGACTAAATGTTACTGGCATTTTATGCTAGATGCTAGGGATACAGCAATAAGCAACCTATGGTCCCTGCTATTAAGAGACAAATAAAACAAATGTCTAACAACTCAGTGTATTATAAGCAACCAGAATCACAGGGGAGAAGTAAGAAGTGTTTTATGAATGTGTGTTAAGGGCCCCTAACCTGGCCTTCTGAAGGGCTCAAAAGACATGCATGTATATGCATGTATTTATTTAACCCTCTTAGTTCTGAAAACCACAAAACCTTTTCTAATACTGTCATGCTTTCCTTTGACATGACATTTTCTAGAAAACTGGAACAATTAGAATGAAAAAGTAAGTTAACACAAACTTCTTATTCATAGATTTTACCAGTAATCAAACAGCTTTAAGTACACTAAAATATTATCCAATAATTTCTGTTCATATCTTCAGAATGCCATTCTGGTTCTTTTACAAGAGCTAAGGTGGAACAGAAAATAGAGAAAAGGAGGAGCCTCAGGCAGCTAGTCAGTAGTTTTAATTGCCTTGCCCTCAGAGCCACAGCAAAAACCTAAGTGTTAGATACCTTCTCTTCCTGCCTTCTCAGGCAATCTATTAAATTAAAAGCAGAAACCAAACAAGAACACTTCACTGCCACTTACACAAACACACACACACACACACACACACACACACACACGCACACTACTTGCCCCCACATGACTTACCTGGCTGCCTCCATGTTCAGTGTCGATGTATCTCGGCATTGGAAACCTGGAGTGAAGAATCTCCTGTGCATCATCCACTGGGGCTTGCAGGAGATGGCGGAAATTTTCATATTCTGGCATGTCCTGGTATCCTGACTTCCGCCACTGTGCTATAGTCTGATTTTAAAGTAAATAAAGCAGTTATCTTAAATTTCTTGCCCATCTAAAAAATCTTCAGAGATTTTCCCAAAGGAAGTAATATTTTGAAAATAAGAAAATTACAGTATTTTAAAGTTACAATCACTAATTTCAGTAGAGAAAATATTAAAGTAAACACATACAAAAATCAAGATATTTCTTCTCCTTTAAAAGGAAAGCAAAGCTGGACCTGGAATCCCAGCTGAGGGAAGCTGAGGTGGGAAGATCACTGAAGCCCAGGAGTTCAAGACTAGCCAGGGCAATGCAGTGAGACCCTGTCTCAGAAAAATAAATAATTATAAGTAAAGAAAACTATTCTAAAATTAAAAAGGGTTTTAAATAAAAGTAAAACTACAAACCAAAAATTTGAACACTACGTGTCATATCCAATTAACAATAACTGAAAGCTGTCTTTTAGCCATATATGAGGGGGATTTCTGTTACAAAAGATTTCCCAGAGATTTGAAAAATTAAGGACTATTATGAAGTCTTTCTTTCTTTTTCTGTTTTTGGGGGTGGTAGGACTAGGGTTTGAACTCACGGCTTCACATTTGCAAAGCAGGCGCTTTACCCCTTGAGCCACACCTCCAGTTCATTTTGCTCTGGTTATTTTGGCGATCAGATCTCAGAAACTATTTGCCAGGGCTGGTTCAAACCATGATCCTCCTGATCTCAGCCTCCTAAGTAGCTAGGATTATAGGCATGAGGCATCAGAGCCCAGATTATTATGAAGTCTTTACTAACAGAATTATTATGGTAAGAGACATAACCAAAAACCTGTTACAATAAAATTATAAAGATGATATATCTGTAGAAGAACAACTGAATCAATTCCTAAGTTAAAGTAAATGGCTCTAACATGATAAAAGCGAGAGCACACAAGGGAGGGGTGAGGATAGGTAAGACACCTAAAAAACTAGCTAGCATTTGTTGCCCTTAATGCAGAGAAACTAAAGCAGATACCTTAAAGCAACTGAGGCCAATAGGAAAAGGGGACCAGGAACTAGAGAAAAGGTTAGATCAAAAAGAATTAACCTAGAAGGTAACACCCACGCACAGGAAATCAATGTGAGTCAATGCCCTGTATAGCTATCCTTATCTCAACCAGCAAAACTCCTTGTTCCTTCCTATTATTGCTTATACTCTCTCTACAACAAAATTAGAGATAAGGGCAAAATAGTTTCTGCTGGGTATTGAGGGCGGGGAGCGGGAGGGGGTGGAGTGGGTGGTAAGGGAGGGGGTGGGGGCAGGGGGGAGAAATGAACCAAGCCTTGTATGCACATATGAATAATAAAAGAAAAATGAAAAAAAAAAAAAAAAAAAAGGCTCTAGCTGGGTGTGGTGGCATACACCTGTAATCCCAGCTACAGTGTAGATCACAATCCAAGGGCAGCCTCCAGGCAAAAATGGAAGCCCCTATCCCAAAAACAACTAAAGCAAAATAAATAGATACACAGACACACAGTAAATGGCTCTAAAAACCATTAACTGAGGAACTCAAAAATTTAAACATAACCTAAATTACCTGAATTAGTCAGTGTTATTCTATATAGCTTTATACTTCTGCATTTAAAAGAAACAGTCATCAAATTTCTCATATTAACAACATGATATTTAAAGAAGCAAAAATTACCATTAAAACAAACAAAAAGGCTGGGTGTGATGGTACACAGGGGTAATCCCAGCCCTGGGGAGACAGATGCCAAGGATTGAGAGTTCAAGGTCAATCTCGGCTACATAATGAGAACCCGCCTCAAATGCCAAAAGGCTGGGTATGCAGCTCAGTGGTAGAGCACTTGCCTATTAAAGCCCTGAGTTCAACCCCTAGCACTGCAAAGAAAAAAAAAAAAAAAGCAAAATAATATAATGTCAGTATTATATTTATTTTTCTTAAAAAGCAAGGGCATTAAGAAGCTGGTATCAATTAAAACCAATCCAAAAATAAAAATAATAATAATAATCAATAAATCTTTTTAAAGTTCTGGATAGTATTATATAAAAGGCTCTTTTGAATAATACCTTTACTATTACAGTGTAAATCTAAAATCACCTACAACTGCACCAACTGGAAAAATAAATCTATACAAGTCACAAAATACTAGACTATATGCTTGAGTGCAGGTTGGAAAAATGAACCTCTATTTTCCAAACCATCCGGAGCCAGAGTTTTTTATATAGAGAGTGCACTTAAATATTGGCTAAATGAATATATGCATGAATGAATAAGAGCTCTGCTAAATATCTGGATTAAAGCCTAATTGCTACTCAAATATTCTGCTCTTTCCAATCATTGACCATTCTAATTAAGTTATAAATTTTAATTCACTTATACCATAAGTGAGTTTTTAAGATCATGTGGAACACTTCTAAAAATAGCTTCTTATAATGATTACATGAAATAATGAAAACAGGACTGGAGGTGTGGCTCTAGCAGTAGAGTACCTGTTTTGCAAGCATGAAGACCTGACTTCAAACCCCAGGCCCACCAAAAATAAAAGAATATTGCATCAATGAAATAATGAAAAGAAAAAACTTTGCTCACTGATGAAAACTGACTTTCCCCTTTCAATGTCTTCAGGTAAAACCCAAGAGTGTGTTATGTTTACATGTCAATGTTTTTACTTTCACAATACTACACTTTGTGCATAATCCATTTGTCTAATCATGTGTAGACAAATGAACAAAATAAATACAGGTGGGTCAACTGTCATGGAAACCTAAAGACCTATATTAGGAAGAATCACATCTTATACGTATAGGTTGAGTATTTTTATATTCAAAATACTTGAGAAGTGTTATGGATTTCAGATATTGTTCACATTTTAGATTATGTGCAAATACATGCGATATCTTGGGGATGGGACCAAATTTAAATACAAAATTAATTTATGTTTTATCTACTCCCCATAGACATAGACTGAAGACAATTTATATAATATTTTTAATAATTCTGAGCATGAAAATTTTTCATGGTGAAAAATTTCCCAATGGTGGAGTCATTCTGGTGTTCAAAAATGTTTGGATTTGGGAGTATCCTGAATTTTTGGATTAGGGATACTCAACCTGTATTTAAGAAAAATAGAAATCAAGCTCTATCATTGACCAAACACTAGCCACAAAACAGAGGGAAAAAAACTTCCTTAGATATAAAGACTTTACATTCTTAAGCTTTAAATGCTGTAGAATCTTACCTCACCATGATAAATCAAGATCTGGAAGAATGTATCCATGAGAAGAATACGGTCTGCCAGAATGCTGCTGCTATCAAGAAGAACTGGCTAACATGAAGAAAACAAAGAGAGATGAGAAAAAATAAACTAAAGATACAAAGCAGACCTCTCCAGTATATTCTCTAAATTTTAATTTGACATTTACAATCTCTTGCCATAATGAGTTCTCACAATTTTCTAAGGATTCTCTTTAGACTGAGGTAATAATTAAAAAATAGAGTCAAGAGGAAATCAAGAATGACTTATAAGCCGATAGTGGTAGCACTGAGTGACATGGAAAGGCCTGGGAGACAGTACATTCAGGCACATGGAAAAACAGTTCTGTGAAATGAATAGGAGTACCCAAAACTGATGACATAAATCTGGGCGTCACACTCACAAAGACAGAGTTTAAAGCTACGGGGTTAGAATGCACCATTCAGAGTGGTTGTAGATAAGGGAGGCCAAAAGATTGGGCTCTTAAGCGTGTGGACACTTAGAGGTCAGAAAAGGAAAAGTCAATGAAAGGAGGCTGAGAAAGAGCTGTTCAAGAAGAGGAAGAAAACCAGGTGAGAATAGTGGGTATCAGAGAAGCCTAAAGCAAAAGGCTTCAAGGAAAAAGTCCCCACTAAGCAAATACTATTGAGACCTTCTTGAAGTAAGATGTAGCTAGAACTCAGGTGGCCTTGATAAGATATGTTTTAATATAATGTTAGGGACAAAAGTGTAACTCATACAGGTTATAAGAATGTAAGCTCAGAAAGTATAGACAAATAACTTATTTAATTTAACTATGACAGGGAGTAGAGAAATGGGGTGATAGAGAAAATATGGCGACAAGGTGGGTATTTTCGTGGGTTTTCTTCTTTAAATCTGAGTGCTATTAAAGTTTCTATGTTAATGAGAATGATCCAAATGGACAGAAAGTGATGATGCAGGAAGGAAAGAAAACTCAAAAAGCAAAGTCCTAAGAAAATGAAGCTAATGAGACTCATGTACTAAATGGAATGGATGCAAGCACTCAGAATGATGATATTCCAATTTCCTTGTAAACACTCTTCTACATTTTCCAGATGTCTACAATTTACATATATTACTCTGAAAAAGAAAAAGTTAGTTTTAAAATTTGCTTTCCTGATTCAAAATGCTACAACACCAACACATAAAAATATTTTCTTCTAGAAAAGTAGAAACTATTTGACAAAGTGCTAAAAAGATTGTAGTAACAAAATAAGACATTTATCCACTCTTTTACAAAACTTGAAGAGTAACTAAATAATAAATATAATAAAATATTATTTTTATACTGACCCTTCCTAAAGTATTATTTTCAAATATATTATTTGTGAGTAGTACAACAGACAATTTCAAGTACATTTGATAATAGGTTAAAGTGGGAAATTTTGCTAAGGAAGATCAGTGGATAACTTTTTACCACTCCTCTAAATATATGATTTTATAATCAACTGTATTTTATGTTCTCAAAGAACCAAAAGAAAATGAGATTATGTTTCAGGACTTTGTGTAGACAGAATATCATAAATTATCAGACACTAAACTCTGAAATAAGGCATATACTATGAAATCATAATAATCATTTCTGGACATAAAAATGGCAAGCACATACATAAATAGCTCAAGCTAACAATGCACCTAACAAATTCTTATTAAAAAAGTTATTTTCACTTTTTTAATGTCAAACATCACAGTAACAAGACTAATGCACTCTTTTTTTTGCTCTTCTTACCTCTGGTGGTCCACTAAAAGAATACGCATACAAAATAGGCTGAATCATGATTAGAGACTGTGTCAGATCTTGACGCATAAAATGATGACGATAATACGAACTCTCATCAGGACTATTGTTAAATACTTGCAAGAAAGGAGATCTTCTTAAATGAAACATAAACTGCAAGATAAAACAGATGAGGTGGTTTTTACTGATTTTTAATACTGTGACAGGAGTTTACTATTAACCAAGCACTTCCTTACAACTACTAGTAACACAACAAAATGAGTTATACTAAGAACATCCTAAAGTGTATTCCTCAGAAAGGAAGCTTTTGGGACTCCTCCACACCTCCAGCCTGCGCATAGCATCTCCACTTCACGTTAAACGGAGAAACCAAGAGGGTTCCTGCGCCACCGCCAGAAGGCAGCGCCCAGACGGCTTGGGAAGACACAGACCACAAGGTGAGCTAAGCGGCACGCGGTACTCCCACAGACAACACTGGGCCAGATCACCATAGCCCCCTGGACAGACCGACCCCCACCCAGGTAAAAAAAAAAAAAAAACTGAATAATAAGCAATAACAACAAAAAAGACACATAGCAAAGAGGGTAGGGCGTCCTGAAAGCCAAAGAGTGGGGGAGAGGAAATCCCTCACAACAAGCAGGCAGGAGAAGGCAGGAGCAGCAGCACACACCCAGCAACCAGGAGCAGGAAAGCTTGTAAAAGTGGCAGTGGGAGGAAAACTCCATGGGGGTGGGGAAAACCCACATCCCATGTCAGCTGTAAATAAACAAGCCAGCCGGAGAAGGCAGGAGCGGCGGCACACACCCAGCAATCAGGAGCAGGAAAGCTTGTAAAAGTGACGGTGGGAGGAAAACTCCACAGGAGAGGGGGAAGACCCACTTCCCACATGAACTGTAAATAAACACGCAGGCCTGAGAAAGCAGGTGCAGTGTCACCTTCCCCAGTGTGCTTGGAAAGGGGAAAGCTTGAAGCAGTGGTGGTTGCACCCAGGGGAACTCTGAGTAAACAAAGCCTGCAGGGACAGGGGAGTGTTAAGCTCACCCCTGAGATCTGCATAAATAATGCCTCCAGCAACAGAAAGCTGACAGCAGCGGGCAGGTGAGCCACAGCCTCATATAGCCATTCACAGACCTGTCTCCAGACTCTTTTTTATTCTCTCTTCCTTTGATGAGACAACAACTGAACTATACCTGCATGCTGAAAAACTTACTGAAACTGTACTGCATTTGAACGTGGGACACTTTGTAGTGTTTTTTTTGTTTTGTGTTGTTTTGGTTTGGTTTTTTTGCCCTTTGATGAGACAACGACAGAACTACTTCTAAGACACCATCTCCAGGATTGGAGGCTGACGGACTAACACCAAAATTATTAAGATTGAAACTTTATTGCATTTGAACTTGAAGGTTTTTTTTTCATTTTTTTTAATCCTCTCTCTGTCTCTCTAATGCCTGTTCAGCCTACTGTTGATTAGTACACTATCTCTCCCTGATTATATCTTTGAAACTTTTTTGTTTCTTTGTTTTTTTTCTACTTGTTTGTTTCTTTTTCCCTTTTTCTTTCACTTCTTTGCTTTCCGTCTCCTTTCACTCTTCCCATTCTAAATGTCACCATTGTTATTATTACAAGCTAGAAAATACTTAACTGCACACAGTACAGGGACAATAACACCACCAAGGGCAATGACGAGAAGACAGAAAAAAAAGGGAAACCAGTTTCCCCACAGCAAAAAATCAGTACAGGAACCAGGGGAATGAAGAAAACACATACTCAGATCCAGACTCCAATAAAATGAAGATAAACAATGCCAAAGAACACAATGAAGCCCACAAGAACAATCTAAAAGAAGAAATAATACAGGCAATCAATGAGAATTTTATAGAGATGATACTGAATATAGTCAACCAAAATGTATAGGTTGACTATGTACAAGAAATTCCAAGACAACAAAAATAGAGAATTTGAAAAAGCACAAGAAGAAATAAAAGAAACCATAGAAGCACTATATAAACACCAAAGTGAAAGAAAGAACACAATTAATAAAGAGATAAATGAACTAAGGACAAAAACGGACAACATTAAAGAGGAAACAACTCAGGATATGGAGAACCCCAGAAAAAAGAACGAAACAGAACTGCAAAACAAAATGGAAGGCCAATCCAGCAGAACAGAACAAACAGAAGACAGAATCTCAGAACTCAAAGATGAAATGGTAATTAAAGAAAAAAACCGAAGAACTATTAGTTAAACAACTCAAGACCTGTGAAAAGAAAATGCAAGAACTCACTGACTACATCAAAAGATCAAACCTGAGAATCATGGGCATCCAAGAAGGAGAAGCGGTGCAAGCAAAGGGAATGCAGAATACATTCAATAAAAAAGTAACAGAAAATTTCCCAAAACTAGAGAAATCTATTCCCATACTGACACAAGAGGCCCCTAGAACACCAAACAGACCAGACCAAAATAGATCTACCCCATGGCATCTTATCATTAAAACAACAAATACAGAGACCCAAGAAAGAATACTGAAGCCTGTAAGAGAGAAAAAACAAATAACATACAAAGATAAACCAATCAAAATCATAGCAGACTTCTCAACAGAAACATTAAAAGCAAGAAGAGCTTGGGGTGAGATCTTTGGGCACTGAATGAAAATAACTTCAACCCCAGGATATTCTACCCAGCAAAACTATCATTCAAAATAGATAGAGCAATAAAAGTCTTCCATGATAAGCAGAAACTAAAACAATATGTGACCACAAAGCCACCACTACAAAAGACTCCTCAAGGGATTCTGCACACAGAAAGTGAAACCTAACATAACTATGAAAAGACAGGCAGCACCAAACTAAAGGAAAAGAAAAAGCAAGAAAGTAGAGAATAACCTCAACTTAGGTACACACAATCAAACCTTCAAACAACTAAGACAACTAAATGGCAGGAATCACCACATACCTATCAACACTTAATGTTAATGGACTTAATTCACCCATCAAAAGGCACTGTTTGACAAAATGGATTAAAAAGGAAGATCCAACAATTTGTTGCTTATAGGAGACCCATCTAACCAACAGAAATAAGCACAGGCTTAGGATGAAAGGCTGGAAGAAGATTTACCAAGTCAATGGCCCCCAAAAACAGGCAGAAGTAGCAATACTTATCTCAGACAAAGTAGACTTCAAGGCTACACTGATCAAATGAAATAAAAAAGGACATTCCATACTAATAAAAGGGGAAATAGACCAAAAGGAAATAATAATCATCAACCTATATGCACCCAATGTGAACACACCCAATTTCATCAAACATACCCTGAAAGACCTAAAAGAAATATATAACTCCAACACAGTGGTCTGGGGACTTTAACACCATTATCATCAATAGATAGAGTCAACAAACAAAAAAATCAAAAAAGAAAATCCTACATCTATAAATACAATAGAATCAAATGGACCTACTTGATGTCTACAGAACATTTCATCCAACTTCTACACAATATACATTTCTTCTCAGTAGTCATGAACCTTCTCCAAAGCGATCAATCCTTAGGGCACAAAAGCAACCTCAGAAATATAAGAAAACAGAAATTATACCAATCATTCTATCTGATCACATGCAATAAAACTAGAACTCAACAACAAAAGTAACGACAAAAAACATGCAAACAGCTGGAAACTGAATAACTCATTACTTAATGAAAATGGGATCATTGATGAATAAAGAGAAATTAAAAGTTCCTGGAAGTCAATGAAAATGAAAACACAACCTACGGAACCTATGGGACACAGCAAAGGCAGTCTGAGAGGAAAGTTTTAGCCATGAGTGCATATATTAAAAAGACTGAAAGATCCCAAATCAATGACCTCATGATACATCTCAAACTCCTAGAAAAACAAGAACAAGCAAATCCCAAAACAAATAGAAGGAGAGAGATAATAAAAATAAGAGCTGAAATCAATGAAATAGAAACCAAAAAAACCATACAAGAATTAATGAAACAAAAGTTGGTTTCTTTGAAAAAATAAACAAGGATCAACACCCCAGGCAAACCTGACTAAAATGAGGAGAGAAAAAACCCAAATTAGTAGAATCAGGAATGCAAAAGGGGAGATAACAACAAATACCATGGAAGTCCAGGAAATCATGAGAGACTACTTCAAGAACATATATTCAAATAAATTCAAAAATCTTAAAGATATGGACAGATTTCTAGATACATATGATCATCCAAAACTGAACCAAGAGGATATTAATCACCTGAATAGATCTATAACACAAAATGAAATTGAAGCAGCAATCAAGAGTCTCCCCAAAAAGAAAAGTCCAGGACCTGATGGATTCTCTGCTGAATTCTATCAGACATTTAAAGAAGAACTGACACCAACCCTCCTTAAACTGTTCCAAGAAATAGAAAGGGAAGGAAAACTGCCTAACGCATTTTATGAAGCCAGTACTACACTTATCCCAAAATCAGACAAAGACACCTCCAAAAAGAAGAACTATAAGCCAATCTCCTTAATGAACATTGATGCAAAAATCCTCAATAAAATAATGGCAAACCGAATTCAACAACACATCAAAAAGATCATTCACCACAACCAAGTAGGCTTCATCCTAGGAATGCAGGGGTGGTTCAACACACGAAAATCAATAAATGTAATAAACCACATTAACAGAAGCAAAGACAAAAACCACTTGATCCAACGCCATTTCATGATAAAAGCTCCAAGAAAACTAGGAATAGAAGGAAAGTACCTCAACATTATAATAGCTCCATATGACAAACCTCACACCAGCATTTATACTTAACGGAGAAAAACCTGAAACCATTCCCTAAAATAGGAACCAGACAAGATGTTCACTATCTCCACTCCTATTCAACATGTACTGGAAGTCCTAGCCACAGCAATTAGGCAAGAAGAAGAATAAAAGGAACACAATAGTAAAGAAACTGTCAAAACATCCCTATTGCAGATAACATGATCCTATACCTTAAAGACCCAAAAAACTCTACTCAAAAGCTCCTAGACACCATCAATAGCTATAGCAAGGTAGCAGATATAAAATCATACAGAAAAAATCATTAGCATTTCTATACACTAATAATGACAAACTGAGAAAGAATATATGAAAACAATTCCATTTACAATAGCCTCAAAAAAAATCAAATACCTAGGTGTAAACCTAAAAAGATGTGAACGACCTCTACAAGGAAAACTATAAACTTCTGAAGAAAGAGATTGAGGAAGACTATAGAAAGTGGAGGAGATCTCCCATGCTCATGGATTGTAGAATCAACATAGTAAAATGTCTATACTCCCAAAAGTAATCTACATGTTTAATGCAATTCCCATCAAAATTCCAATGACATTCATTAAAGAGATTGAAAAATCTACCTAAATTTATATGAAACACACAGAGGCCATGAATAGCCAAGGCAATACTCAGTCAAAAGAACAATGCTGGAGTATCACGATACCCAACTTCAAACTATATTACAAAGCAATAAAATAAAAAACAGCATGGTACTGGCACAAAAACAGACATGAAGACCAGTGGAACAGAATAGAGACAGATATGAAGCCACACAACTATAACCAACTTGTCTTTGACAAAGGGCTAAAAATATACGATGGAGAAAAGCAGCCTCTTCAACAAAAACTGCTGGGAAAACTGGTTAGCAGTCTGCAAAAAACTGAAACTAGATCCATGTATATCACCCTATACCAAGATTAACTCAAAATGGATCAAGGATCTTAATATCAGACCACAAACTCTAAAGTTGGTACAGGAAAGAGTAGGAAATACTCTGGAATTAATAGGTATAGGTAAGAACTTTCTCAATGGAACCCCAGCAGCACAGCAACTAAGAGATAGCATAGATAAATGGGACTTCATAAAACTAAAAAGCTTCTGCTCATCAAAAGAAATGGTCTCTAAACTAAAGAGAAAATATTTGCCAGCTACACATCAGACAAAGGACTGATAACCAGAATATATAGGGAACTTAAAAAACTAAATTCTCCCAAAACTAATGAACCAATAAAGAAATGGGCAAGTGAACTAAACAGAACTTTCTCAAAAGAAGAAATTCAAATGGCCAAAAACACATGAAAAAATGCTCACCATCTCTAGCAATAAAGGAAATGCAAATTAAAACCACACTAAGATTCCACCTCACCCCTGTTAGAATAGCCATCATTAGCAACACCACCAACAACAGGTGTTGGCAAGGATGCGGGGAAAAAGGAACCCTCTTACACTGCTGGTGGGAATGTAAACTAGTACAACCACTCTGGAAAAAAATTTGGAGGCTACTTAAAAAGCTAAACATTGATCTACCATTTGATCCAGCAATACCACTCTTGGGGATATACCCAAAAGACTGTGACACAGGTTACTCCAGAGGCACCTGCACACCCATGTTTATTGCAGCACTATTCACAATAGCCAAGTTATGGAAACAGCCAAGATGCCCCACTACTGACGAATGGATTAAGAAAATGTGGTATCTATACACAATGGAATTTTATGCAGCCATGAAGAAGAATGAAATGTTATCATTCGCTGGTAAATGGATGGAATTGGAGAACATCATTCTGAGTGAGGTTAGCCTGGCCCAAAAGACCAAAAATCTATGTTCTCCCTCATATGCGGACATTAGATCAAGGGCAAACACAACAAGGGGATTGACTTTGATCACATGATAAAGCAGAGCACACAAGGGAGTGAGGATAGGTAAGACACCTAAAAAATTAGCTAGCATTTGTTGCCCTCAACGCAGAGAAACTAAAGCAGATACCTTAAAAGCAACTGAGGCCAATAGGAGAAGGGGACCAGGAACTAGAGAAAAGGTTAGATCAAAAGAATTAACCTAGAAGGTAACACACACAGGAAATCAATGTGAGTCAACTCCCTGTATAGCTATCCTTATCTCAACCAGCAAAAACCCTTGTTCCTTCCTATTATTGCTTATACTCTCTCTACAACAAATTAGAGATAAGGGCAAAATAGTTTCTGCTGGGTATGGGGTGGGGGAGAGGGAGGGGCGGAGTGGGTGGTAAGGGAGGGGTGGGGCAGGGGAGAAATGACCCAATTGTATGCACATATGAATAATTAAAAAAATAAAATAAGAAAAAGAAAGAAAAATGTGGGTATTTATACACAATGGAATTTTATACGCCATGAAGAAGAACGAATGTTATCATTCGCTGGTAAATGGATGGAAATTTGGAGAATATCATTCTAGTGAGGTAGCCTGTCCCAAAAGACCAAAAAATCTATGTTCTTCCTCTTATGGACATTAGAATCCAGGGTAAACACAACAAGGGGATTGGACTTTGATCAATGACAAACAAGGCACATAAGGGAGTATGGATAGGTAAGACACCTAAACAAAACTAGTAGCATTTGTTGCCCTCAACGCAGAGAAACTAAA